GGGGATAATTATTCTTTTTCACCTCTGTAAAGCACGGTGAGGTCAACAGATGAAACCGATTATGATTGGTGACTTGCTCAGGGTCACACAGCAAGTCCGTATCACAGCTAAGAATAGAAGACAGGAGTCCTGTCTTCCAGTCTCATCTCTCACCACTAGACAAACTTCCATACTTTTAAGATAAGTTAGTGGTTGCGTGTTTTTAACCAAGATCTGGAAGATTTGCTGCATCCGGCTACCCCTAATATAGTCGAACAGGAGAAATCCCAGGGTGAACCAAAGGGTTAACTCATGGATCTTTATTGGGCATAGCAACCAAACCTACTTAAGTTTCATTTGTGCAGATCTTTTATCCTCCTCACCTCCCGAAATAGAGAGAGAACAATATGCTTACTACTGGGTTTACTACCGGTTACCTTTACTGTGTCCCTTATTTCTCCTTGATGAAGACTTAAACAAGCCACTTGTGTTTGATTCACAGAGAACCGTGAGAAACAAGCTGTGTATGTGAAACAGTGTGGGTTTTTTTCATTCTATTCAGCCCTTTGTATATTCAGATTCTTCTAGTTTCAGATCTTGCTGTTCTGCCAGATTTCCATAGCATTGATAGGTTTTCTGAATTAATAAGTTTCTTCCCTCCCTTTCCCTTGCCCTCCCCCTCTTCCCTTTTACTTTTGCAACTGGTGAAAAGTTTTTCTAAGCGCGCAGCCTTATCCATATTGATTTTTCTCTCTCCCCTGTTTAAGTGGCTCTTAGATGTTTTATTTTGTAAAGCGTTAATAGAATTTTTCTTTCGCCATTGCACTTTATCTATTCAGGAGTCATTGAGAAGTCCTATTGTGTCACCGGACTATGGAGGAAAGAGGCTATTCTTCTGTTACAATGGCTGCCCTAAAAATAATGCGGGGTGGGGTTAACTCAGAAAGGGCAGAGACGGAGATAAAATGTTCTGACCTTAGGAAACAGAAAAGATAACCAATTAGGCATTGCTGAAAGTGCACCAGCTGGCTTAAAAACACCCTGCTGCTTTCTAAGGGTATATTTTAACCAGAAGTTGGTCAAAATCAGAAACTCAGCTCCAACAGAACTGATTCACCCCTTTGAATTTTGCGGGGTTTCAGAGTTGAACCCCTGGATCTGTAACTCTCTTTTGTGGTTTTGCTTCTGAGCCAAAACTTTTACAGTCCTATTCCCAGTGTGGACAAAGCACAAAGCTCACAAAGATGGTTTAGCTCACATGGTTTCCACCCGAAGTGGCAGAAATCTCCCCCAGCCCAGGAAGTCTGTGTTACTATTATTTATTTGCCCACTAAAGACCCTGACCAAGCCCGGGATCTCATTGTGGTAGGTGCTGTGCGAACACATAGCAAGAGCTTTGGACCAGATCTGTAAAGGTAATTAGGTGCCTAACTCCCACCGAAGTCACTCTAAGGGCGAGAAATCGTCAATTTCCATTTGACAAATGGGGAACTGAAGCACAGAGTTGAAGTGTCTCTCCCCAGGACACACAGCAAGTCCACGGCTGAACCAGGAACTACATTTGCATCTCCCCAGAGCCAGTCCAGTTCCAAGACCATCCCTCCTCTCTCATCAGGATTTGGGCAGTGCTTGGAGGAGTGAGATGACGATGGCCCAATAGGCTGAAGTCTGTGTTGTCACTCCTGCCATCCACAGTTGAGGAGGGAAAGGGTTGTTGAAAACTGCAGCTCAGGCTTTAGCCTATTGAAGTCCTGCCTGATGAGACTCTTAGCCCTGGGTTACACTGCAAACTTATGTGGGTATAACAACGTCATTTGGGTGTGGGAAAATCCAACCCCGTGAGCGATGCAGTTACACTGCCGAACTCCCAGTGTAGACAGCACTGTGTTGATAGGAGGGCTTCTCCCATCAACATAACTACCATCTCTCAGGGAGCTGGCATACCTACGCTGACAAGAGTTCTCCCGTTGGCATAGCCAACGTCTTCACTGAGCGCTGCAGCGGCACAGCTGCAGCTCTGTACGCGTAGGCCAGGCCTCAGTTGCACAGCAAAAGGGAAGTCAGGATCAGAGCAGAGTGAAATTTTTTATGGACAACTTTTTTTTCAGAGAAAAATGCAGATTCAGCAACACCAAAACGTTTCACTAATTCATGTCAGTTTCAATGAACTATTTTGGTTTATTTAAAAAAAAAAAAAAACACTAAACTGAAACGTTTTGATTTTTTTCAGATCAAAAGAACTTTTTGTTTTAAGATGTCCTCTAATTAAAAAATAAAACATTAAAACGTACTTGAAATCCAACCTAAGTATTTCATTCAGTCGGAAATGAGGTTTTTTTACATTTTAATTTGACCCTAAACAATTTTTTTTTCTTTTCAACCAAAAAGAAATCTGTTATTTGCACAAATTTTGTAATTTGTGAGTAGTCCAGATCTTGTCCCTTGTGATATTTTTAGTGGAGATGGGGAGAAATAAGTAAAGGGCCAAAGCATTTTTTTCCTTCTGTAGTTCATCTCTAAAGAAGGATGTGTATTTCCAATGCCCCTAGTAAACTGTTGTTCAGTAAAGAGGGAGAAGTTTGGGGAATTAACAATGCACAGAGACCAGCACTGTGCTAATCAGCTTAGTGCTGTCATCTGGGGTATGGATGAGGTGTAGTAGGATCAACATCACCCGGTGCATTACTTTCCCTTTGGACACAGAGTTGTTCCCCTTGTTGATGAGTGCTGCAGAGCGATGCCCTTTGGGCACCTGTTTGTTCAGCCCTTGTTTCCTAGCTACCAAAGCAGCCTTTTAAAACAACACAAACTTTAGCCTCTGTGTTGGTCGAGCTGCTACAGCAGGCTAAAGAATCATGCTCTGTTAGCCTGGGTCATAGGCTCCCCGTGGCCAGAGAAACTTACCCTGTGCTTCAGATGTCCACGGCCGTTCAAATCCCTGTACAAGGCACTACTTTGTAATGACACCCCTGGTCGAGGATTGAGGCTTCTGTCCTGGTTACGGTTGTGAGAACCGTTCCACGCTGTACGTTCTAATTGTGTTGCATCTGGGTCAGAAGACAACAGTGGTAGGACTGGGCCTCTTGTTATGTTTGTATTTAGAGTGCAAATGAGCCCTGGGAGCCCTCTCCAGGCTGGGGTTGGGATTTTGGACAAAGATTTTGTGGTGAGAAGTGTCCTAAAGCTGTACTGTGTAGACTGACGAGCATGGGGACAAAGGAGTGTTCAGCGCACAGTTTTCCTCCGGTGATGCACAAGGTGGTTATGGGTGAAGAAAAGAGAACGCATGTTGTTCAGAGAAACTGGGCTAGCTGCTAAACATGATTCTGATCCCTGTGTGCTTGAGGCCTTTGAGAATTTTAACAATCACTGATCAACCAGTAATTCCAGGGCACAGATGAGTGCTAGGGGAATTGTCCTTATTTACTCTCTAACACTGACACCTGTGTGTTGTTGTTTTTTTGTTTTGTGGTGTTCTTTTATGGGGTAAGGAAGGGGAGTGGGGCAACAGGACAATATACTTAATTTAGTTTGGATTCTCATTGTGCCAGTGGTTTAGGTCCCATGCATGCTGCGGATGAAGGATTAATCAGAATGAAGGAAGCATGTTACATCCTTTCAGATCAGGCTGTTTCCAACACATTCGTGCAAACTAATGTGAATGGGACTCAGCTGTGTTAGCTGAAATGGGGTTTAAAAGAAGTCTAAGCACAGTTTGAGGTTTTACTGTGTTGCAGTTTCTACTGGATCATGGAAACTGCCTCCAGTGCTGTAATAGGGACAGATGCACCCTGTGTTTTTAATCACTCTCCGAAATTATCCTACTGCCCTGCAAAGTCTAAGGCTGTAACACCGTGCATGCGTAAAGCATGCAAGATGGAGCTATCCTCGGGGACTGTCATCTAACTGCATCACCTGCATGGTCATTTTTACAGGGTGGGTGCCATTGCAGAGTGACTCTTCAAAGAAATCAGTTTTTCTAAAATGAGTGGGTAAATAATATGTTAAATTTGTTTTGGTGCGGGGGAATCCTCGGTAGAATTCAATAGGGATGAACCCAACTGTAGAAATTATTGTAAAAAAAATTAGAGTTGAATAAAGAATGAGATCCATTCTGTGGCTTGGAGTTTGTATGTTTGTTTTTCACCATCACCTCTTCTAAAGCAGAGAGAGAATTCTTTAGTCAATCATAGTTAAAATGGTCTATTCAAAGATTATAATTTTCTGTTAAATTCTATAGGACTTTGCCATAAGCCTGCAGCAGCATCCTGCTGAAGTTCTGGAGTCTCTGAACAGTTTAAAATACAATATACTTTAAAAAGAAATCCCCGCACAGCCTCAGTCAAAAATAAGTGTAAAATTTAGGTGTGGCTGTACAGATTAAATGTAGGTGGAATAAATCATGCAAAGAGTGATGAAACTTGAAAGTGATTTTTGTTGCACTTTAATACATTTCATCAGGCAGCCCTCTCTTCTGAAGTGGAAATGCCAAACCTGATGCAAATTAAACCTCTGTCCCCCTCCCTTCCTCCTGTTGCTTTTCAAAAGGCCTCTTGAAAACCTCTGAATACCTTTTTGGCTGACCAGATTTTGCCCCTCACATACTTTTTGAAATCTTCTAATTCCCATCCAGCACATTGATAGCCACTGGAGAAGTCATAGGCTTGATTTGCATCAGTGACTCTGGGGCCCCTCCTTATCTCTCTCCAGCTGCCTCAGAAGAAGAACGGAGGGAAAAAAGCGACTTGGATGTTTGTGCTTTTTAGGGCAGTAAAACTTTAAAAGTGTGTTTTCCCTCTAGGATCAAATGCCAGCTAGGCTTTGTGTTGACGGTGGCAGGTTTCCAAAAGAAAGAGCTGACTCCAGGCAAAGGAAATGAGATATGATGAATCCATGTGGCCTGCCATACCTGAATTTACCCTGCCACTACCCCAGCCTTGCCTCCCCAGTACTTGACTTATTTGTATGTCTTCATTAACCTTGTAGCAAATGTACTAAAACACGCCTCTTCTGTCTTGCAGGTAGAAGATGCCATGCTTATGTTTGACAAGACTACCAACAGGCATAGAGGTAAGAGAGAGCATCTGAGTGCAGATGCCACATTTTATAATTGGCAAATGCAAAAACTCTGTGTGGTGAATGTAACACTGCAGGTCTGGCTGGCCCAGTGGCCCCAACAGCAGCGTTCAGTACTGCCATGCCAGGAGACTGGGATCTGAGCCACCTCCCCATGTGCCATGATCATGGCGGAGGTGGGCGTGCTTGGGCCTCGGTTTTTGTGTGTCTGGGGGTAGCTTGGATTTCTCAACAGTGACCACTCTTCTGGCCGCTTTCTAGAGTCCTGTCTTCGTGGCCCAAAGAAAGTCCTATTCAGCTTGACTTTGGTGGAAGGATGATTGCTGGGATATGTGGCCTTGTGTGGAGATAAAAGTGTGGCAGACTGGGGGGATCATTAGGCATCTGATGCTGAGGTGGAAAGGGACAGAGTAACATTTAGAGCTGGAAGAAACTTTCAGAGTTTTCTCCCTGGTCACCCGTCTTCTGGCCCAACAAAGATGTATGGCAAGTGAGTCCAGCCTTCAGTACTAAGGGGATAAGCACTCACTCAGACCTCTCCATGTTTTGTACACATGACATACTCTGAAGCCCCATAACAGATATCCGCCTGTTTACACTTGAGGATAAGCAAGAACCTTAACTTGCAATTCCCTTACTTCAGTGTAGCTTAGACCAGATTGGGCCCAATTGCCAACTGGCTTCCACCCACTTGCTAAATGTGCACACACACAGAGGGCACGTGCACACTTGAAAGCATGTGCAAGTCTTATACTAGCAGCTAGAAGCAAGCCTGGATGTGCAAATTGATGATGCCAGTGTTACAGGTTCATTTTTTTTCTTAGAAGTAAGACACCTGCCACCCTTTAGCCCATTGCAATCTTTTCACAGCCTCTTCCCCCTCCCACCCCCCCATGCTGCTGCTCAGACTGTGTTCCAAAATGCTCCCTCTCCTTTGTAGTCACCAGTTACAGCTTGGGAACTGGAGGCTGGATGTATTTACAGTACAGGACACTGACCATGTGCACAGCAAAGCATCAGTGTGGCACTTAGATCCTCTTTGATTCTTCCTTCTAGGATCCTCTTGTACCTTGTCTCCCTCCTTCAGTCCCTCCATCTCCCATCTTCTCTGCTTAACCGTTTCGCCTCTCTGCTGCCTCTCAGTCTGCATTTCCTCTGAGTCCCTCTCTGCTCCTTGCCCTGCTAGTCTAACACCAAGGAGCCCATTTTCAAGGCAGAATGAGAACAGTCTTTGGGCTTATCTTGTCTCCTCCTTGTACTGGCCACTTTGGGGGGAAGCTGCTACCAAGTGTTTGCAAAATGCTCCCTAACTAACTTCCACGGGCTAGTGGGCCATTTTCCAACATAGCTACCTTCCCTCTGAGGATGGGAAGGGAAAAGTGTTCTCACTTGATGTCAGTTTTGAAGTGTGTGCTTTCATTTCCATTTATTCTTCCTGCTGCCTAGGTTGGGTTTATGATCTCTGTTTGACACATCACTGCTGAAGTAGTTAGAAACAGATGGGAGGGGAGATGCAGGAGCCTTTCCAAAATCAGTCCCTAGATGGTGCCTTCAAAACACAGACATGCACTTGGATTGGGTAACAAATGGTGGGCACCAGTCTGCATGTGGGCTCGATTATTTATTTTATTATTCTAGTGTTGTAATGGACGTGGTGTTTTATGCTAGTGTTGTAGGACGTGGTGTTTTATGCCCGATAAAAGGTGGAATCCCTGCTTTAAGGGACTTGCCACTGTGCGCAGATGAGGCTGTGTGATGAATGGAATAAATGGGCTTGCAGGAGAAGGGAGGATACTTGGGATACGTTGGCTGTCCCTCGTGCTTGGAAGATGGCGTGGAGTGAGAAGTGAGCAAAGGAGGACGTGGGAGCTGTGTGGAGTGAAGCGTGATTGGGAGATTAGGGAGTAGGAAGAGAAGAGGCAGAGAGATAACAATTGCTCTGGAATGCAAACGTGGCCCTGTGTGGTTAGATCCTGTAATTTAGGATAGGATTTTCCATGCCACCAGCATCACCCTAACTCAGCTGCTTTCCAAGTCAGTAGGAGTTTAGGTCAGTGCTGAGCGCTTTAGAAAATCTCACTCCGTAGTTTCCTCCTTTCATTTGCACCTTTGACCCGAGTTCTCTGCTTTGCTGGCAGGAGCCTGGAATTTATAAAACAAAACGCCAGCCAGTGGTTTGAGGTAAGAATGTATGATGCGTTGGGGTGCACGGGAAACAAGGGCTCTGGGAACCCCAGTGTATCACTTTGAGCCAAGCATCCTTAAAGCAAGTAATAAGGATGCATTCCACAGATATTTAAGGAGCCATTTGGTCTAATTATCCTTAATGAAGGAGTGGAGCGAATGCACCCCAATTATGAGGGACTTGGGTCTCAGTGCTAGAATAAATATAATTCCCCCAACCCCATCTCCCCTCCTAAAACTGCATGTTTCATGTCTCACTGGATCAGATTAAGCTGTTTTCAGTCTGAAGGTCTGACAGCTCTGGAAAACATCATGGGAAGATGTTGGAGGGGGAAGCAGTGAGCAGTGGTGGTGGTGGTTGTACTATTTCTTTGTACTGGAGTAGTACCTATGAGCCCTAGTCCTGGATCCCCATTGTGTTAAGTGCTGCATAAACCCAGAACAAAAAGATGGTCTGTGCTCCAAAGAACTTCTGATCTAGTCTCAGTGTAAGACCAGAGCCAAAAAGTGGATACATGCAGATGGATGGGGAGGATGTTTTGTGGCTGGTTTGGATTAATTGGTGTGCTGCTTGCAGGCAGCATAATGGTGCCGTGTAAAATAGAAATAATGAACGCACTTGAGTGGGTGTCAAGCATTGGGCTTTGCTGTTTGTTTAAAGGATTAATTAATGCCCTGGAGGTAGATGATAGTAACTGTCTATTGACACCTTTCCTTGCCTGCATCTTGAGCAAAGTGCAAGTAGAACCAGTTCCCTCCAATCACACCTGCATCTATCCATTGGTTAGCCTTGAGTTTCTGGTGTTGCCTTCCAGCAAAGATTGTTCAATGTAACAAATGGGATTGAATATCGACTTGTGCCCACCAGGAGGGGAAGACAAGTTTGTGGAGCTGGAATCACAGCTGTGGTCTTTGTATCCCCCCCAGGCTGAAATTTCCAATTGACCATTATTATTGATTTATTTATATTACAGTAATGCCTGGAGCCCCCAACTGAGACCAGAGCCACCTGGTGCTATATAAACACGTAGTGAGAGACAATCTCTGCCCTGAACAGCTTACAGTCTAAATAGACAAGACAGACAGGGTGGGAGAAAAGGAGTACAGTTTATTCCCACATTGCAGATGGGGGAACTGGTACACAGAAGGACTGAAGTGTCTCACCCAAGAAGTCTGTGATAGAGCTGGGAACTGAATTCAGATCATTGAATTTCCTGTTCAGTGTCTTAACCACAAAACTGCCCTTCCTTCCATTGATGTTAAATCTCTATTCACAGCTTTCAGGGGGGATTAAGGCAGGATCTCTGAGATCAGGGCTCTGTGGAGCAGGGAGGGGCAGTCAGTGCAGTGAAAGTATTCAACAGCAGCAAATTACACAGCTATCTGCTTCACTTGAGAGGAGGCTCAAGGACCGAGGGCTGGTCTACACGCGGTTTTTACACTATTTTAACTTTATATCAGTTTTAGAAACCAAATCAGTGGAATTCCTGAGCAGGGGTCACAATTAAGTGTTTATATCAGGCCTGATCTACACTTAAAACTAGGTTGACATAGCTACAGCACTCAGGGCTGTGAAAAACCCACACCTCTGAGCAACATACCTACGCTGACCGAACTCCGGAACAGCTGCAGCTAGGTCAACTGGAGAATGCGTCCATTGACCTGGCTACCGTCACTTGGTAACGGGGATTTTCTACAGCGATGGGCAAACCACTTCCGTTGCTGTAGTTTGTGTATACGCTATGGGATTACGGTGGCCTAGCTATGCTGCTGTAGCAGCTGCAGTGTAGACATGGCCCCAGTTTAGATCGTGTGGATTGCAAGCTAAACTATTATAAGTGTGTCCGTATCAGGGACTCCCGCTGACTTGACTCAATCCATTTTCATTAAATCGGTGCAAAAATGATGAGAAGAGACAGAACCCCTTAGAAGAAGACCAAACAGAGCTATTTGGGAAGAGGAAACCAGTCATAAAATCTTTTTTTTTTTTTTTTTTTTTTCTTCTTCCCCCCCCCCCCCCCCCCCAATTTGAAATGTCAACATTCAACAACATTTTATGCAGCCCATAGTTGATCAAAGAAACAAGGGGGAAATGCTCTTTGTTGTCCTTTTTTAGTTTAAAGTTAGCCTTTCAGAAATTGTCAAATTCGAATTTCAACCAGGCCCAGGCAAGTGTCTATAAAGGGAGAAGCAGACTGGGAGGGAATTGATCCTGGGCTAGTCTGGAAAAAGGAGAGTGTCTAGGCCTGTCCTGAATTGTGAGTGGGATGGACAGGCTGAAATTTTGGTGCGTCCTGCAACCCATGTATTCTTAATCCATCCACAGTCTCTTTAAAAGTACAAATCATGGCTAAGGGTGAGCTGCCTCAAAGACCTGTTCATTTCCTTATCTCTATGTACAGGAGAAACAGTTTAGCAGAAACTCTAGGTAGGTAGGCAGCCAGCACTTGGCTATCTGACCATGAGCATCTCGACTATACAGCCACTTATCTTGGGTGCAGCCCATCCATTCCCTTCTAGCCTTATATTCTGTACAGATTGCCTGGAACGTATGCTAAATGTAATCCTGTAAAGTCTTGAGATGTAGGAATTAAAAGCCAGAGTTCTTGCTTTATTCATTTCCTTTAGACTTGAAATTAGGTCTTAAATTTGCCACGTGTCTTTAATGGCAGCATAATTTGTTTTTTCTTTGAAGCAGCGTGATCTGTGGGAATGAGCACCAAAAACTGTTGAATTCTAATCTTAGCTGACTCACACAACCATTCTGACTCGCTTTTCTCATCTGTAAAAGGTGATAACTGTACTTCTTT